TAAGCCCGCGTGCAAAGATGCCGGCAGCGCCGCGGCTGAGGCAGCCCCTGATCCATGCAGCTAAGTCTTTCAGACTCCACATCATTTGAAGTACGGGGGTTTTTATTTTCCTTTATTAAAGCACACAAGCAGCCACCTAGGAAATTGTCGTTTACATGGCAATAATTGTAAAATCATACCAACACAACCATTTCAGAAGAGAATTAAAGAGCCTGTGCTGCAGCCGGCCAGCTGATCGCAAGCCTTTAACTCCATAGGCACAGTACAATAAAGCTTTTGCTTTCAGGTTTTTGTTGCTCTTCTTACAACAAACTCCACTGAGCATTGAACAGAATGCCTGAACACATTCACTGCAAGGGCCACAGAATTACCCAAAAGCTTAGTAAACACACATTTATTGAGTACTTCATTATGTATGATCATTGCAGCATAGTCATTATAACAAAATCCTTATTAAAAAAAATGCCAGTCACTGGTATATTTTTCTGAGGACATAAATCTACTTAAAAACCCAACCAAGAACTACAAAGGGAGGGTGGCTGTTCCTCAGCCAGCCGCTAACAAATGCTCTCCTGCTCCCCAAGAGCACCGCAAGGAAAAGACGGCAGCTGGCTCCCAGCTTCATTCAGAGCCGTGCGACGGCCGATGGGCTCAGAAGACTCAAGGTTACTCACTGACCGACGCTGTTCGTGTAGCCACGAACACATCAGCCCACCAGACTCATTTTTTCAAGGGCACGGATGCAGCTTGCCAGCAGCGCGGTTCCCAGGGAGTTCTTCTTAGCATGCTTGGGGGTTGTATGAGATTTCCTGGTGAGTGCTTGGGGATAAACATCCATTGCAAAGTGCTTAAAGTGCCCAGATATCCTCCTTCCCCGACATTATTCAGGGGAAGCACTAATTGCAAAGTTTTCCCTGGTATCCCTCCAGATTCCCAGTCAAATACTAATCGGCATGAAAATCGTCCCAGCTTGAGCAGTTTACAAGGGATCTGGGTCCTATACACGGGACACTAGAATTGCATCTATATTTTAAGCCCAACCATAAGGGAAACACTCTAGATAGAAATATAACATTGGATTCTTTTATACAGCATATATAAAGAACATGACAGCATTAAAATATTGGCAAATCAATACATTAAAAATACAGAATCTCAGAGACCGGAGCACAAGAGATATATTCACATGAAATCTGTACAATCCGGATGACGCTGCCGGTTCCCGCATTGACCTCCCGTCTCCAAAAGAAGGTCTTCGTTTTGCTTCCCCATCAGCACCACCGGCCACCACTGCCCAGATTGCCCTGTGCTGTTGTGCTAAAGGGAGAACACAAGTCCGCCGTCCCTGCCAGCACAGAGAGCACTCGGGGGCCAAACTCTTCAGGAATGTTTTCCTTATCAAAGGGAATGGGAGGGCATTGCCTGTTACAGAAAGCTCTGGCCTACTGGGAGAGGAAAATCAATCTATGGTTGGCAGAAGGGGTGGCACCTTGGCAGCATTTCCCAACTTCTCTCAGCATTGTGGATCTCATTTCATTAAAAAAAAAAAAAAATAGCCAAACCACCTTTTGTATGGTTTGTGCACCGCTTCTCTCGTGTGGAGCAGGTGGGACTCTTAGGCCACCCCTCCTACCAGAAATGTCCATGTCTTCTGGAGGAGCTGCCGTTCTGAATTCTCAGAATGGCTTTCCCCTATACATAAATACATGTGTATATTTAGGCCACTTCGTTCCTTCCTCCCCTCACTGAGGAAGATCCCCAAGGCATGCTTGGCAAGATGCAACCCTACAATATAGCTGTACCTATGGCACTATAGAGACGTGGATGTACAGGCACATTCTTGTCCATTATTACAATAGAAATACAGGATTCAAGGAAAAAAAAGCAATAGCAGCATGTAAACAAGGACTTGTGTTCGTTTCATCCATCTTTTCTTCCTCCTCTTCTGAGCTACATTCATCAGTTTTGACAGTCCCTTCTCACCACCCTGCTCCCCTCTCGAGGGTTTTAGTGCGGACCCCATCCGCAGGAGCCGACGTTGTCCTCCCCAGGCTGCCGGCCACGGGCAGGTTGAATTTCCCTTTCCACCAGCGCTCTCCTCTCCCTCCCCGCATCCTTCTCTTCTTGATGACTCATCCTGGAGACGATCTTGGGATTTTGTCTGACAGCTGCTGCCCACTTTGGCTTCAGCAAAGTCTAATTTCAGAGCGATGCCGCCGGAATAAAACCCGCACCCGAGCGCCTGGTGAGCCACAGGAGCTGTTAGCGTCTTAAACAACTCAGGGAGCAAAAAAGAAATGAAGGAGTTTACATTTTGTCTGTCTCCCAGCAGAAAAGGTGTAAGTCCCAGGATCAATGCCCTTTTTAAACCCTTAATTCCTGAATTCTCCATAATGTTGCAAACCACCAGGGTTTCTCAGGAATCAAAGAGCTGACTTCAAACATGTTCCTTAGTGCAGGGTGCACTGGAATTAGAAATGCATCAAATGGGCTCACTTTCTGCATGCTCTTGCAGTATCCAGTTTTCCCAACCCCCAAAATTGCTTCCTCAGTTTCTCACCTCTCAGTTTTGAGGTCCTGCTAAAGAGCCGTTATCTGAGTTAGCTCTGACGTGGGGGTGGTCGGACTCTGCTGGGCGACAGCCACCATGGGAATTTCCATGCCTAGTCAGGCTGGATTGTTAGTCCCCTCCGAGTTCTTGCAGGCATAGGCCACATCCTTGGCGATGCTGCACATCCTGTTGGACATCTGGAGCTCGGTCCTGAAGGCGGTGGGGAAGCAGAACTTCTTGAAGCACGCCTTGAAGTTCTCATCTAAGAAGGCATAGAGCACGGGGTTCAAGCTGCTGTTGGCATACCCCAGCGCGGTGCAGAAGCAGGAGATGGCCAGCTCAAGCTCGCTTTCTGCCTTGGCACCCAAGCACTGGACCAGCACGAAAATCTGGATAGGAGTCCAGCAAATTATGAAGACTGCCACCACCACCAGGACCATTCGGGTGATGCGCCTGAGGTTTCGATCCTTCTCCTTGGAGCCTGAGAGGACACGGACGTTCTTGAGTCGTCTGATCATGAGACTGTAGCAAACGGTGATAATCAACACAGGGATCATAAAGGAGAAGAGAAAGACACAGATGCCAAACACTGGATCCCAGTAATCCACAGGTGAAGGGAGTTTAATTAGACAATCAATTTCTGCAAGTCAAAAAATAAAGAGGAAGGAAAGATCAGCAAACCCATACCAAGAACAAAAGCATCTACACATTCCATTTAGTTTAGGCATGTTTAATACTCGAAAAGCAGTAGCAGTGATGCAGAGAGGCAAGGGCCAAGAGAAAAGAGTTAAAACGGCTTTTACAGCAGGGAGCTCAACACACTGATGAAACTGGTACCCCTCTCCAATGGCTCCCCAAGCCCACGGGCTCTCCTGGCCACCAACACCTCCCACCCCATGGATGCGTTCTTACTGACCATTGTTTTCATTCTCTGCAGATCCCATCACCATCGCTGGGATGCCAAAGACAGAAGCCAGCGCCCAGATGCAGACGTTCACCACTTTGGCCTTGTGGGGGGTGCGGATGTCTAGTGCTTTGATAGGGTGGCAGATAGCAATGTAGCGGTCCACGCTCATCATCGTTAGGGTGAAGGTGCTTGTGAACATGTTGTAGTAGTCTATAGAGATAGCAATCTTGCAGAGGACATTGCCAAAGGGCCAGAAGCCCAGGAATGTGTCTGTACCCTGGAAGGGTAAGGTCATCAGGCACAAGGTATCAGCCAGAGCAAGGTTAAAGATGTAAATGTTGGTTGCTGTCTTCATCTTGGTGAATCTGAAATGTAGGAATTAGCAATGGTTAGAGCTCCACCCAACCATGACGGGCAAGGAAATGAAGTCTACTGAAGACATTCTGTCACATTAGGAAGGAGATGCTGTGTTTTTCTTACATGACAAAAGAGATTGAACACCACCCCTTCCTTTCTACCTCTCCTGTGCTTATTAAAACACAGCTCAACCCATCTCCTACAACACCACAAATGGTGCCTTCGCAACCAGTTTCATGGGCAGAAGCTTATTCCCTTAGACCACAAGTGAGGACCATGAAAGGCCTGAGACTGTCAACTCAGACGGTGCTTTTTGAAAAATGACTTCAGCAAGACTAATCTAGGATTTCATCACATATAGCTTCATTATTATAAATATTGGTGAGAGCTTTACCTGGTAACCTGATTTGATAGACATCATATGGTCTGGGGGTAAGTTGATTAGTCATTTTGTACGGGTTCATAGCCAAAGACTATGGCCAATGTGAGCTATTAAATCACAATGGGCAAGATGGCCAGCCCTGGCCAGTGGCAGCTAAAAACTGGTGAGGAATGAGACTTGTATCAGGAATCAAAATATCACAATGGATCTTTCTAAAGAGGTAGTTTGGGGATAAAGTCATGAGTCAACTCTATTTCAAAGGGGTTGTGTCATTTCTAGATTACTTTTATCGCATGAACTGACTGCCCCAAAACAAGATTCACCTGCTGTAATGGCAATCATCTCCTTTTTCCACATGGGAAATGATGCAAAGAAATATGCGATTGCCTGCCCAAAGATACACGCAGAGTCTGCACAAACGGAAGCTCAACTGTGACTGACTCTAACATTTCAGTTCCAGGATATTCCTCTCACGGGCAGAATAAGAGCTCAAATAGGTATAATTTTAAAACTACAGCTCATCTATCATTTACTATACTAACAGCCTTTGCAGAAATGTTGCCAGAAATGGCAGACAATGATGTGTGTTATTAACGAAGGGCAAGTTCATTTGAGGGTAACACTTAAACCCATAAACTACTGCGCTATTTGCAGTTTGATGCGTGTTGGAGTATTATGGGATCTGATTTGACCTAAAAAGCTCTTTCTGTCAAATTGATTCAGAACAGCAAACCCACAACTGCAATCCTCAGCGCTGTATCCTCCCCTGATGATCTGAGCTTCAGCTCCTGATAGATTATTTGAATGCTCAGAGGAACATTATCGCTGCCACACTCTGAACTCTGTTGAGACACATGGTGGCATAGCCAAGTTTGCAAGAATAACAGCCAGGGAATCCATAATCCCGAATATGAAGTTGTTGGGTTTGGGGTTTTTTTACCCCTTTCAGAGCTCTAAGCTGCGTTTGTATTAGAAGCCAGATGTTTGAAAGTGCCATCTACCAGACCGTGGCTTCAGAAAGCAAGAACCAACAATCCCACAATTTGACCTTGAAAGACACGGGAAGCTTTTGGAGCTGGTGAACATTGATGTAAACACTCGAGGTCCCCACATAAGCCTGAGTCAGGCTCCTCCCAGCCCAGAAATCACTGGTTATTTAAACGCCAGCCCAGATCAGATAAACTTATATAACCAAAAGCAGCAGAGGAAAAATACTGGTGTCTTTCCTATTGTGAAAGGATGAACTTAGCAAAACACTTTGCAAATCCAACACAACCAGGCAGCTGCCAGGGGTTTAATGCTTTGGGACTTCCAGAGCATTAAATTAAAATTACACAGAAACAAACAGATTCCAGTCCCGTGAACCTCAGGGTAGCACCACCTTGAGGTGGGTGAGTTTTGCTTTTTTGTTTGAATTCTTGCAGTTGGCATAAATGCATGCAAGGAGCATGAGATGGGTCTGTGAACAGATTCAGACACTTTCCCTTCTAGGTCGCGGGGGGAGGGGGGTGTAATTAAAATTAAGAAATGAAATCACTGTTCGTTATCAGCCCACACAAAAATACGTATTGTGAGCTTAGGCTTCAGGAAATTACTCAGTCATCTAAGACTGTGTTAGCAAAGATCCCCTGGGAGCTGTAGTCTCTCCCTGTGTCCTGCAGACCTGGTTGGGCTCATCCAAGCTTCCCAAAGGTCAAGCTTGTTCCAGTCCATCCTTCCAGGAAGACTGGACTTGAAGGCAATTCATCAACATGCTTCTAACTCTGACTTCTTTTACCGATGTTGTAACTTCAGGGAATAAAAATCGCATTTTTGAACAATGATGGGCAACTTCACCACTGTGAAACAGAAAAAAATTACAAAGATTTTCCTTCTGAGCAGTGGGAGAAACAAGCAGTGATCCACCCACCTCTACCACTAAGGCCGGAGGCATCCAGCATCCACCGGGACCAACGCCGGCTCCGTGCACTCCCCGTCCCCAGCAGAGCGAGAAGTTTGGGGCACCTCAGCCAACCCCGAGCCTGGGGCGTGCAGACTGCCAGCCTCGCCAAGACACTTCTCGGCAAGAGCTCAGCGTCCCGGTGCAATCGCTCAGCCTGACCCTGCAAAATCCGCTCTCCCCCCGCGCGGACCCCTCTCTGCTGCCCCTTTCCTCACCCCCTCCTCGAGGCGAGGGCAGAGCCGCCGTCCCTCCCACGCAGGGACACGCCGGGGCGGCTGGCCCCCCACCTACCTCCTTCAAGCCACCTTCGAGGGGATTTTAAGGCTGATTTTGTGCTCTTGAAAGGTGGGGAAATTAATTTACACCTAATTAATTACTTCTAGCTCCACTTTCTCTGCACGCCGAGAGCCAACAGCCATTATCCCAACCAACCCAAATGTTCCCAAACATTTCCAGAATGTTCAGTACAAACAAAAATCAATTAATCACTTCTCTGTGGATTAACCTCTTTTTCCTTTCCTCCAGGAACTGAGAGTGTTCTCTTTCTTAATCTGCACAAAAAAGACAAATTACACTCTCGGGCTTTAGGAGGCACCTAAGGTACCCCCCACGGCACAGCTCCGGTGCGGATAAGCCTGTGGCCTCCCCGGAGGACATTAGCTCCCCGCTGAGCCACTTTCTTGCACTCGGTCACAGAGGCAATTTCCTAATGGAGCATCTCCCACAGGGCAGTTCTCCGTCCAGCTCCACCTTTGTCACAAAAGTAATCGCTTTGCTCTGCTCTCCCGGCTGCTGAAGCCTAAGGGGAAAAACATCTGGGTACCAGCTCAGCGCTCGGCTTCCCCCTCCTTTTTGCTAAGCGGGCCTCGAGCAGCATTACCCGGAACCAAGCGGTGCTTCAGCGAGGGGAACCCGCAGGCTGGGAGAGGGGGAGATGGGTAGGACACAGCCCTTCCAGACGCGGGCTCTGGGGTCCTGTTTTTCACAAGGACAGCTTCTGTCCCCGGCTGAGCCGCAGGGAGAGCTGCAGACCCGTTGCTTCAGCATCACTCCCTCCATCCCACCCGGCCACCGTGAGGCCACACGGCAGCGAGCGGCTCTGGACGCCCCGGGGCCAAGGACCAGTGGGCTGCAACAAACCTACAACCCGAAACGGGGCTGCAGACCCCCGGGGCAGAAGGACCAGAGCGAAGCCTTCAGCCCTGGGGAGCAGCGAGCGTTATCACCAGGAGCTCTCTGCCTCTTGGAGCCTCCCGGTTTCGACACCGGTAGCTCCAGCGAACCGGGATGCAGACGGTGCTCCTCACCTCGAGCAGCTCCCTCCGTTGCCACCCCACGCCCTGGCATCAGTGACAGCCTTTGCCACCCTCCCCAGACACACACAGGGAGGCAAAACAGAGCAGAAAAAGCTCGGGGAGGATTTTTGCCGAGCTGCTCCCGCGCTCTGACAGGGGAAATCGGCACCGGTTCACCGACACCTCTGCTCCCAACCCGCTCTTGGCCCACAGGTTGCATGAAGCTGATATTTCATCTGGCACGTACCATCGTGACCCGTGTCCTCCCAGCCACACGCTCACACCATGC